AAGGTCCAGAACACTCACATGCCATGTTAATGGAATAGACTTGATATTCAGTAATGCAAACAATAAGAAGATGAGTTTGAAGACTGTGTTCCATGCAGGTGGGCTGGAGAGCATGCTGGAGCCCAGTGCGGAAGCGAGTTTACTGAGCGCTGTCATGGCGACTTCCTGTGTCGTCGTGGGAGGCGGTGGTGATAGACTGGCGGGCGCTCAGTGACCTTTGAGTTCTCTCGCGTCGAGGCCGTCTGCCATAACTGCCATAACTGCCAAGCAAAAGGGGTTGATTACTGATGCTTTCTCCCAAATACCGGTAGCCGGCAACTTTAAAGGCTATTCCTCGGTGACACGTGAGACTTGATACAGAATGAACACCGGTACCGGTATTGTCAGTGACAACGGAAAATAGGAGACTCCAATGCTTTTAAAGATTCCGGGAATTGAAGCACCGTATACCCGAAATGAGAATCTAATAGCTTTATTTACCGGTATTTCGTCCGAAAATAAAGGTGCGGCTCTGAACTGTTATGGGGCTATTCAAGGGCCGCCGCATAGCTCAATCCTCTTATGTGGAAAAGAAGACGTTCGGTGATCGGACCCAGGGGGGGTCGAATCGGGACTTCCAAAAATGTGATTCAAGGAGGGGCTCTTCAAGTCTTAGCAAGCATAATAGTACTCCGTAGGAGAAAGCGGGGTGAATTACCGGAAATTCCAGCACGAGCAATAATTCCATTAGCGGATTTAAATCCAACATGTCTATCGTCCCAGGGGAATGCTACGGGTAGAAATACTCGTAAATTTCAAGATATTTGGGGGCTTCAGTGCCAAGGCTTTGTGCTTTCCAAGAGCCTTGACATTAAAGCATCCAGATGCCTATGGAATTCGTAAGTATGATACCGTATGATACCTTTTTTTTTATTTAGTCTTTTTATCAAGGGTCCTATCATACCGTATTATAGCCCCCCTATTCGAAAAGCGAGCCCTAGCTCCTTTAATAATTTTTTGATGTATCCCCCCTTCATTGCAGCATCGCCCGCTGTTAACCTGAAAACCCCACAGGCCAGGACTTTCGTACCGGTAGGTGTGGATAAGCAGTGGTTGGCTAGGGTTCAGTATCTGTGCCGAGGTACAGTACAAGTATGGTATCTCAGCCTTTTAATGACCTCCTCGAACAATGCCTCTAACGCTTGGGTTTGGTGGCTTAAGGATTCCATTACTGCATTGTCGGGAGGTTGGAACGACTGGCAGGCTTTCCCGTGCCAACTTGGGGGATGGTCAGATCTGAGATTATGATATACCGGTACTTGAGTTTGATTGAAGCTGGATAAGTAGGGTGGGGCCCGGGGCCCCGGCATCCGCATTGAGAGTGGCGTATTGAATTGGCCTGTCTGCCCACTCAGCACATTGATAGAGCAGGGGACTCCTGTTTTGGTGAGCACAACCCCTCGGGGCAGGAACGGGACCATAGGCCACAGCTTCGATCGACGAACTGGAGGCTTACTCACTTGGGGCGGGCATCAATGTGCCTAACCCAAGGTGTCAACATGATATTTGTGCCAAAGCTGGGAGCGTTATTGCCGCAAAAAATTAGAGTACCGGTACAGTAGAGGGTGAAAATCCACCTGGGCTTGATCATGGACGAATCACTGTAGCTATCGCTACCGATGCTTAACTGTGATCAGCGCTCCTCTAGTACTAGCAATAAATCAGCTGAAGACGGGGGACTTTCACTCACAATATGACAGGGACTATTAAAGTGGGTGAAACCGACATAAACCAGGAGCTCGGGGGCATCCCAAGGAGGCTCTGCGGCCCGGAGGCGCGCCGTTGCCGGGGGGATCAGAGACTTTTTTTATTTAACTAATTGGAGCCTTGGCAGATGCCTCATCGGGTGTCCTACTTGTGCTCTCGGAGCCCGCTCCGGCTGCATCACGCGACACACGAACCATGATGCTCGAGTACCGGCCGGTGATCAAGGTAGACTGATCTCACTCCTTCTGTTCCTCCCTGAGCCTCATAAGGTCTCTGCTGCTAGTAGGGCGTAAACTTAATCCCAACGTCAAGCACCTTCGCTCTCTCAATCTATCCATACTCTGCACTCATGTTCGAGGTATATATCATACGTCATCAATATTCTCTCCCCCATCTCCCCCTCCTGGAACCGGCTAACTCTTCTTAAACCTCTCATAGTCGGCATCAACCTACACCCTCCGCCGGCACCGGGCAAACAGCGTCGTCCTCACGCAAGCCGAATTGGTGGAAATCCGTGCTGCCCAGCGTACCTTTGAAGGTGCGTACCTGCGAACCGCGCTCTCGCAGTTCTCCTTTTCCCTCATAATCCTCCGGATCTTCACGCAGGAATTTTACTCCATCGGCGCTCTTTTCGCGGTGTTTGGTGCATTCATCATGCTCGCCAGTCTTTTAAGGAGGAGGAGTGGGAACAGGCAGTTCTTTAGAGATGAGAACGAAGGGGGGAGGAAAAAGTTTAGGACCTCGGGGAATGTGGGGGCTTTTCTTTTCTGCTCTGAATAGGATTGTTGCTGATCTTCTTTGCTGAGGGATAGGTCGTTGCGGTAGTTAGTTTGATTAGTATTGCGGCTTATTCTGCGCTGCTGGTTCTGTTGTGTAGGTTACAGGGGGCGTAGGTTTGGATTGAATAATTGGGCGTGTGTTCGGGAATGGAAGTTGATCCTGTGGTGAGTGTATGTCTGTTCGCTATTTGTTTGATGAATTTCATTTGATAGCATGGGGTTTTGCTGAGCCTCGTTTTTCTTTTGCCAGTATGTGAGAGATGGCTCGCGATCATTGGCAATAAGGATTCATATACACCCAGCACCAAGAGTTGTTGGCGCTAGTTCCCCATGACATGGGAAAGTGCTATTGTGCTATTAATTATGGAAGCTTAATCACCTCATTGACTAGGGTTCACGCTATGAATCACTGGTATCGTAACATACTCCATATTTAATTGGTGGAAGGAGTACCAAAGGGCACTGGGGTTAACCCCACAGTTCTGCCGCCGTGTCACCGAACAGTAAGTGCGATGCAGGTTTCGAGCAGAATACACCTAGGCTCCCGGCCGTGGTATGGTGCGCTTATGGCTTCGGATACTCCACTCCTGGAACACTCCTTGGTGCCTGCAAACCCCGGAATATCATAATATGGAGAAAATCCCATGCCTATAACCCAAGGTTACTGTGCAAATGAGATAAGGCCTACCCGATAGTACTGTGCAGGGAGACCCCTACCTAGGTTTCTGAATTTCTCCTCAGCCAAACACTGTCTTTCACCTACTGCTAAAGCACGAGTCCAAAGCTATTCTGCTTTGATCTAGAAACAAAAATCAAATAGTACTCGTACAGCACGGAATCGAGGGGTCATAGGCCGGAAAATAGGGTTCAGCTTCCCGTAAACCGCTACGGTAGTCGTTTGTGCGCTCTCACGAGTTATACAGGGCGTGTAAGAGTTTTTGCTTTGATAACTGCAGCCAGCACTGGCAATTTCCATTACAGCTGCATTCTTATTAACGTATCCATCAATGCCAACCCCTCCACCCAGGCAATGGGCGTAGTACTAGCACCGTTTCATGGGAAATCAGAGCCCTAGCCAAATACCGGTAGCAACAGGCGAGCGATGTATCGGTGGGGGGACCTGAGAGAATGTTATCACAAGCATCTGTGTTCAATAATTATTACGGATTCCACGACAATGTGCTACAGGCAGATATCGGAAGCCTTATCAGGTCACTTGTCAATAAGGCGCACTTATCACCGAGGCGCAACAACTTTTGTGCTAAAAGAAATCAACTTTGCTACCCTCGGGTTTTTTCACAATCACGTAAAGCCACCCGCCCCTTGCCTACTTCCTTCCTTCTTTGTCAAGGGCAGACACTCTTGCGCGCCTGCCTTGGATTGAGGGAGGAAGGTGGTTAAGTCAGGTTGGGGCCTAAACCAATAGAGTGTACTATACCCGGCTTCCGTCAGCTTCTGGGAATTAAATCGATAGGACTAGAGTTGAGGCTCGCTTCAACATTAAAGCTCGATAAACTGGCCCGATTTTGCCTTATCCGACATCTCACCCTCTACAACTTTCCCGTAGCATCCAGGCACACGGAAGAGCTAAATAGTCTTATTGGTCGCGGTACTAACCCCTTTATCGTACGGTCTTTGTCCCAACATTTTTTTCGGATCCACCTCGGGGCCGGCTCGGCCAAGCGCAGCGGGATGCCGCACCATTTCCTGAATCTCAGATGGAGCAAAGAGACACTAAAGCATCGGGGAAGCGAGAGTGGCAAAGGCAGCCAAGCTATGATAGTATAAAATATTTTCAGGTATCATATCATAGGAGGGTTTTTTCAATTTCACCGCAATACCCGTACCTCACTCGAGTACGATACCGGCAGAAGGCAAATTTTGTTGCGGCAATTCGCCTATGATACCAAGCCTCAAATTGTTGCGCCATCTCAGCCTCCAAAATTTACCCGCTCCAATCCGACCTTTACGAAATTATATGGTGTCATGCGTGGCATCGGTTAACTTTTACCGGGGGAAACTGTGCCCTAAGATGTCTGAACTGTGTGGCGTCGCCGACCGATGCGAGGCAGAAAAAACAAAGCTTGACCTGCGATCAACTTGCACCAAGCTTAACGTTAATCCCGCCTTGTACGATATCTCGCCGTACCGCCTCACCGCCTCACCCTTTCTTCGACCTCTCTCTTCCTCCCCCTACCGTGTCCTATCTCCCTCAACTCCGGAATCCCCAATCATGGATGTTCACGACCCTCCGCGTTGGCTATCTATCACCGGTCAACCACTCCCTAACCTCGAATTTCCGAACGGTATCACAGGTATGCTCCCTCCATCCGCCCCTGAACATCATCCACTAAGCTAACTGCATGAAAGGAAAATGCCGCGACATCAAAGAGTTCGAGAAGCTGAACCAACTAGGGGAAGGGAGTTTGTTTCCCCCCATTCCTGGCATTGATTTACTGTGATCCATTGTGTTAACCAACTCTTCAATCAAACAGCGTACGGGGTGGTACATCGAGCTCGAGACCGCGGATCCGATAGAAAGAAAAACATTGTCGCTCTCAAACAAGTTCGAATTTTCGATTCTGACCGCGGGAACGGCATTCCAATTACCGCTCTACGCGAGATCTCCATCTTGAAATCCCTCCGGCATCCCAACGTCGTCAATGTTCTGGATGTTGCTGTGGGTGCTGAATTTGACGAGATTTACATGGTCATGGAATACGCGGAACAGGTTGGTGGAAACTTTTTTCTCTTTTGGAATTTTTACTTGACGGACAATTGGCGCACCTCGACTGGCTTATGGATTCCTTCGTTCAAATGGACGATGGAGTTTTGTGCTTGCGTTTCGGTTATTCTAGGATCTGGCAAACCTTCTTGATCATGCGAGGGTCAGGTACTCTGAGAGTGAAGGTATGCACCTCCTTCTATAATTCCTTTTGCCCAAGCGGCAACCTCAAGCCTGACTGTCACGTAGTGAAATGTCTTATGAGGCAATTGGTGGAAGGACTGGAATACCTGCATCGGCGCGATATCATCCATCGGTATTTTCCTTCAAAATCTTCTGCCAAATTCATTCTAACATGGACACTATAGGGATATCAAAATGTCCAATCTCTTACTCACAGCTGACGGCATCTTGAAGATTGGTAAGCTTGATCAACACCTCGCTTATGAAAGACAAACTAACACCCGCAGCTGATTTTGGCATGGCACGCGAGTATTCCCCCCGTCCCCTCACCCCCGGTGTGGTTACAGTTTGGTACCGAGCGCCCGAACTCCTCCTATCGGCCAACCGTTACAGCCCTTCTGTGGACATCTGGTCGGCCGGCTGTATCATGGGGGAATTGATCCTCCAGATGCCCCTTCTTCCTGGAGAAACCGAGACCGAGCAGTTTTCTCTTATCGTCAAACTCATTGGTTCGCCCAACGACAAAATCTGGCCCAAGATGCGTCTCCTCCCCGGTATCTACGAAAAAAGCGCTGGCAGCAGAGGCAGATACTACAATCCACCTGTCGGGGCTCAGAGCGAGAACATGCTTGAGAGGCACTTGAAGGGTCAAACAAAGGAGACAATCAGATTGATCAACGAGATGTTGACCTACGACCCCGATCGGAGGATCACAGCCAGTGAAGCTTTGAGACATAAGTACTTCACTAGGGAAATGCCGCCCGCCCAGAGGCCAGAGTTGATACAGACTTTCCCGGAGATCCGCAACGAGCGTTGTGACGATGGCAGTCATCATGCTAGGGGCGGCGAGGGTTTGGGCAAGAGAAAGGCAAAGGATGCAGGCGGCTCCTACGTCTTTGATTTTCCTGATAACGGATTTGCCGAGAGTCTCGATGGCGGGAAAAAACGGAGACGGAACAGGGATAAAGGGGAGTAGATCTTTTCCCTCGGCGCAATTACCTTAGAAACGGCGGCCCTTTTCCCTAACATATTTACATCTCTTCTCTTTAGATTGTGTATAGTACAACGCTTTGTGTACCGGCACCAGATGTGACAACCAGCATTTTTATTTTCCAATGCAGAGTATCATACCTGATAAGGTGCCGAGCATGATAGGGTAGCGAGCACCACTTTCTGCCCCGGAGGAGATACCCTTAACCAGAATGAAAGCGCTGACCCATTCGCACTGCTCGCTGCCCTATCCCACTCGGCACCTTATCAGCCAGTGCACCGCCCTCACTTCCTGCCTACACAGCGCACAAGCGAATTTCCTTTCCCCTTTCCATTTCTACTTCTTTCCCCACTCCTTTTATCCGCACAGCACTAGCACTATGTATTGATGCTTTATTATTTAAACCCTCGCGGAGCAGCTCTTCCAGCTACATTATTCCAGCAGTCGTAGGTCACATCAAATCAGTAGATCCAATGAGAAAGCCAAAACCAACACCAACCAATTGCGAGGCCCGAAAAAAAAAAGGAAAGAAAAAGGGAAGAAAAACCCCCTCAGGTGTACTTTATATCCACCTCTACTTCAAGAGCTCATACCCCCCTTCGGGCGGCATGACCCACCCCGCAATGCTCACAAACCCGGCAATAACAAGCATAACACTCCAAGAAACCGTTGTCATAACCCAACTCAAATCCAACTTCCACCCCACGAAGAACCTATCATCATAATCATAAAGATAGGCCACAAGTGTCATGGCTCCACATTGTGTCATAGCTGCCCAGTCGCTCAAAAATTAGCCCAAATTCCTTCCCCCCTTCACTTCTTCCCACAACCATCATCCCTATCAGGGAGGAAAAGGGGAATACAAACCGCAAATAAGCACAAGCCCAACCAGGACCTTCCAACCATTCTCCCTCTTCACTCGTCCGCCCATGAGGATCGCTACGAATGCGGTTATTATAGCGCCCTCGAGGACAAGTGCGAGGCTCATCAGAAAAGCTATTGAACGCCACATGGAACAGAAATAGCGGTCATGCCCGTGGCAGTCCGCGTATGTCGGGAAGCGCTCGCAGCTACCAGTCACGCTAGAGCAGCGTTTATGGAGGCCATAATTGTAGGTTATTGGGCCGGTTTTCTGTGAAATGGTTAGTTAGTAAGGCGGAGAGGGGGAGGGAGGGAGGATGTACTGTTACTTCGACATAGGAGGCCCAGCGAGGGATGACCACCGATATTAGGGTTAGGATGGAAACTGAGGAGATATTGAGTTAGAGAGGTGTTCGGGGTGCCCTTTTTTTCGAGATGCGGAGTTGTGCAGGAGGGTAGGTTTGTTTGCAGAGAATAGGTAGAAATATCTCCACTCCCTCCCTTCTTACAGTTAGGAGTTGATGTGTTTGGCTGAAGTTGAAAAGGCCGCAACAAATGACGTAACATACCTGCCACAAATGCTGCGAGTGAGGCGCCGTAAATAATCTTCCTAGTCATGACTTCTTGGTTTGTTTTCTCTCCTTCTCCGAATATTGCAGTCTGCTCTCTCTCACTCTCAGAGAAAAACCCTTTGACCGAAGAGAGGGGAGCAGGAGGCGAAGGTTAAGAAGAGGAAGAAAAGAATAAGGCGGAGATTTTGTTATCAGTATGGTGAGGGGGCCGTCGTTCAGTTTAAAAACAAAATCCCGATAACCCACCAACAGGCTCGATTTCCGAACCCCACGACCAGACACGGACCGTTCTACAATACCGTGGATTCTCCGGTTGGAGGCGAGAAATTTTGGTGGTGTGGTGTGCCAAAAAGATATATAACCGCTGGCCGGTATTAAAATTTGGGGGAGTTTTTCTTACGGTGCTCGAGTAGTCACCGTAGGCGCACTGCACAGGAGGACGAGGGGGGGAGCGCGAGAGTGGGGAAATGCCGTTCTGCACCCGTTCAATTATCTGGGGGAAAGAGCGGCGGCGCCAATTGAGGGATCGACTCACCCATGGTACCGTACGCGAATACAGTACAGTATCGTACGTACTCGTACAAGCAGCCGGATGGATAGGAATCGGTAGCGCGCCGGTATTGCTATCCAGCATCCCGATCAGATGGAATACGGTGGGGGGCGGCCGCAGCCCGAAAGGACTGGGCCTGCGGCTGAGAAAACAGGAATTCCTTGTTTCTCTGCAGGGATTCTTTACTTGCCAGATTTGTTTATGGGAGCCGATGCGGTGTTGGCGGAGCAATCCCGATTTCAAAGTCTCGGGAGCCGCGGTTCCTGGGAAACGGGAGATATTCCTTAATGGAGTACCGAGTACCAGAGTATCGTGACTCTTACAGTGTTAAAGGGGGCGTCGGTGGGGCGTTTTGGGGGAATAGTGCTCTCGATCGAGATTCCGGTATGGTACTGTACGTACGGAGGGCAGTGTTAAGTTGGGCAAACCTTAACCGTGTGCTCGAGTATGGCAAGAGAAACATCTTCGTGTGATCTTATCGTCTGCATACAATCGCCCGGGGCGAGCTTCGGGAATGTCCGTGCTTATGCATGAAAGCTGGTATGATAGGCTATCGAGCGTCACGCCAAGCCGATCACCTATTATCACTCGCAATCATGGCAGAGCAAGGTTTTTGTGAGCCACAGGGTATACAGATACCCACAAGGCGCATGGCATTTTGTGAGCGCCTGCAGTCTCAAGGCCTAGAGGAGAGGATGGAGTGGCGGTATCGCGAATACCGAATGGCCTAGTGAGTTGACAGAAACCTTTAAGGGTATAGACCTGAACCGACCTGAGCCTTCTAGGAATGCTTCTCGGTGCATCTTCAAAGCTCGGAAATCACCAGAAATACTAGCACCTGTAGGGAAACCCATCCCCTTGAACCACTGATCCTCCGTGGGGTCCACTCGTATTTGACCTCGTCCTCCCGTACCTGAAGTTGAGACGGTGGTTGCGCCATAGCCATCGCTAGCCTTTCGGCACCTCTTGGCGTCTGTAACCCCTCTATTTTTCCCCTCCCCGCCTTCCTCGGGCTCTGTAGCCCCCCTTCCCCACATGATTCCGCGTCCCTCATCCGCTCTTCTTGGAAGATATTTTATCAAGCCCTCATCCCCCCCATATCCCAACACCCCTCTACCCCTCTCCTTTGCAACTCATTAGCCGGAGGTTTGCTAGACTACAACTTTGTACCCAACCCGGGAACAACTCTTCTGAGAGAGAAAACATGGCTCCACAACTTGATGGTTACTTTAAGCAGTGAGTAAATCCTTTCTTTCTTGCCTGCCAATTTCCCCGGTTGTCAAAATGTGCTCGTCCGTTTGTTCATTCGATTATGGAATATTATTGACAGGTATTTAGGGTTGATTTGATGGCGGACTCGTTCATCAATCGTTTGTGTTCACCTGGTGCTTGTTTTCGCGGTTAAGTATCCTGTTACTGAGAACATCCAGGCCTTCGCTCTGCTGTTGCTATCCCATCGGTATCGGCTGTTCCGGATTTGCGTCCCAAGGTTGTCGCCATGGCCGATTTTCTCGAGAAAGAGCTCAGGGTGCTTGGTGCTTCTGTTGAGAAACGTTTGCCCGGGAAGCAGCCCGGCCATCCTGACCTCGACCTTCCTCCTATTCTTTTGGGTAGATACGGTAACGATGCCAAGAAGCGCACCATCTTAGTCTACGGGCATTACGATGTCCAGCCCGCTTTGAAGGAAGACGGATGGGCTACAGAGCCTTTTGACCTGACTGTGGATGAGCAAGGAAGGATGTACGGAAGAGGTAGCACCGATGATAAGGGTCCTGTGTGAGCTCCACTCGTGATTCATAGGCCTCAATTGGAAGATATGCTAATGTTTGCTCGCAGCCTTGGTTGGATCAATGCTATCGAGGCCCATCAGAGGTGAGCATATAATCCCTCTAATTTTTTAATACCTCCTATCGTCTGCTAATAAGCTTTAGAGCTGGCGTTGATTTCCCTGTAAACCTTCTCATGTGCTTTGAAGGGATGGAAGAATACGGTTCTGAAGGTCTTGATGACGTGATAAAGGAGGAGGCAAGTAAATTCTTCAAGGACGCAGAGGCTGTATGCATTTCCGACAACTATTGGCTTGGAACCGAGAAGCCATGTCTGACATATGGCCTCCGAGGATGCTCGTACTACTCTCTTGTTGTTTCGGGGCCTGGTCAAGATCTGCACTCTGGTGTCTTTGGTGGGACGGTTACCGAGCCCATGACAGACCTCGTTAGATTGCTTGCAACTCTCGTTGATAGCAAGGGAAAGATCCAGATTCCTGGCTTGAACGAGCTCGTTGCTCCCCTGACCGACGAGGAGAAGGAGCTCTACAAAGATATCAGTTTTGAGATGTCAGATCTGTACCAGAGTCTTGGCAGCGAAACGAGTATCCACTCAAATAAAGAGGATACTCTGATGGCCAGGTGAGTTGAAGAAGCTTGTACTGCTGTTATTTGTGAGTTGGCATATCTAACCGCAGCACACAGATGGCGTTTCCCAACCCTCTCTATCCATGGTATTGAAGGAGCTTACTCGGCCCCCGGAGCAAAGACCGTCATTCCTGCCAAGGTTATCGGAAAGTTCTCCATCCGAACAGTTCCTAACATGGAACCTGATAAGGTGGATCAACTGGTCTTGAAGTTTGTAGATGCCGAATGGAAGAAGCTCGGCTCCAATAATACCATGAAATGCGAGCTTCAGCATTCCGGCAATTGGTGGGTTGCAAGCCCAAAACATTGGAACTTCTCTGCCGCTAGTAAAGCTGTTGAGAAGGTTTTCGGTGTCAAGCCAGACTTTACCCGTGAGGGTGGCAGTATCCCCGTAACCTTGACCTTTGAGCAGGCTACTAGGAAGAACGTCTTGTTGCTCCCCATGGGCAGTAGCACTGACGCCGCCCATTCCATAAACGGTGAGTTTCCTGCTTCTTCTGTTCTGAATGTACCATGCTAACATAGCACAGAAAAACTTGACCGGAGGAATTACATCGAGGGAACCAAGCTTCTAGGGGCATATCTTCATTACGTCGCGGAGGAGGAACAGGTTTAATCGAGTTCCTGGAAAACCCCTTTTACGTGGTTTCTTATTTTTTTAAAAAAGTTATACCAATAACCTACAACTTGTTGAGCGCGAATTAAGTTGGTGTTGACATCAAAGCACGGTCGCAATCGACCGCCAATAACCCTCGAGGGGCCCCATTATGCTTGAAAGCCGGATTCAACCTTAGGTAGCATCTTTCTCAACCATTCACTCCGCTAATGGCGACAATACCGAGAAACATATAAACAATCAGTCAAGTCCAGCTTAACAAATTCCAGCCAACGATACTTATGGTTATGAACCGAGTGATTTCACATGACAATAAAGGATTCAGAGTGCTTCTACTCGCACATGTGCGATCGCCGTGTTCCTGGAGATACCGGTATTGAGAGAATAGTCTATACTCAAGTACGCCCAAATACCGATCACTACTAAAATCACGGCAGTAGGCTAGCTCTTTTCACCAGTGACACCACTCATCTGCACGCCCAACATTCGTTACCCAATACCATAGTCTACCGAAGTGGGCCACGACACCACAAAAACCCCCGGCGCCGCAGCGAAAAAGCATAGTGTCCCACAATCAACACGGTCTTAACCACACGAAAACCCACGAGCGACCTACCCCATATGCGGACCCGCCTTGGCGCGTCCTTGGTGCATCTACCCCGTACAAGCACCACCCAACGAAATGAACGCCACCGGCAGGGCACGGTACCATAGCTGACGTTTACCCACCCTCCACCTGCCTTGTTGGCGCTTAATCATCATCCAAGACATGCGCCTCACAACACTCGGTGGTACTGTACGAGTACGAGAACCCTTCCGCTGCATACGCAATCGTATTGCACCACAAGCGCAGTCCTCTTTCTCCAATCCGGTAGCCATTATTACCCGCTGCTTATGGTACTCTTTCTGTGTTCATCCCGTTTCTCACTCGAGATTATCGTTTTGTGACACGGTAGGGCACAGTAGGATTACAGTACGAGGAGGGGGGGGTAAGGTGGAAAAAGTCTTTTTCTTGGTAGCGCGAAGGTGGATAGGATCATAGGGATGCGATAAGTCCAGTGCAACGGGTTGGGCAAGAACGACTTACTACTACCGGTAAGAAGGTGAGAGAAGTGGGCGGGTAATTTGAGACGTGTCTTTGCCGATACATACCGAGATGACGGTAGTGGAATTGCTGGTAGATTGAGAAAGGTGAAGTAGGCATTTCTGGAAAGGAGTTTAGATGTATCCTTTATCAGGCGATAAGTACGACATACGGTGCCCCGGTCTACAAGCATTGATTTTTTTTCTTTTCTTTCCCCTCCACCTCCTTTCTGGCCCAACCGGGGGGCTCACGTGATGGATGCGATGGCTACAAGGCGATCAAAGTTAAAGTTGACCGTCGCTTCCAACGTATCCTTTCGATCATCATGTGGTCGCCTCTCGCTATACTCGTACTGAACCGCAATGTAGAGGACCGGAACTGAACGCCTTGCCATAGCGGGCAGACAGGCTCAGAGGGGAAACCCGAATCGTTACACAAAAAAGTTCCCGGCGAGGAAGGAGCACTTTTTCTGGATTCGAGGATGAAATGCTCCAAATACCAATCCCCTCCTGTGCCCACCCGTGCAAAAAAAAACTCCTTGCCTGCTGCAGTTGAAGGTGGCGATCGCAGTATCGCTAATGCGGACAGATTTCCAATTCTCGGATAATTGCCCTACTCCTGCCGCTTTGCTCCCCTTTCACCGCCTTCCTTCCTTTTTCACTTTCGAGAGCGATCGCGGGTGGTTGCAACCGACCGACCAAACATCGTGTCCGGAAGCAAAAGGAAAGGTGAGAAAAAAGAAAAAAGAAAAAAAAAATGATACCGTGCCGCTTCCCAACTTGGCACGCTCTTCACTCGGGGCAGTGTACGAGTACTTGTAGTGTCGCGATGTTCAATGGTATGGTATCTGGCTGCAGATGGAGAATAACGCGATAGTTAGGGCCTTATTTCATCGTCATCATGTCTATCGAGTGCGAAAACGTGGCCTGTTGGCACGGACGGGAGGGATTGTACTGCATAGGGTTGTATGACGGTCACCACTCGTGGGTAAATCTTACATAAGACTGATCTATTTATGTACTGTATCGAGTGGAACATCTACCAAACAGTCAAGGTGGTGGAGTGGTTAACACGTTCGCCTGCTATTACTTCGGTTAAGCTGTTCAGCGGATGCCTTCGGGCGCGCAGGTTCGAATCCTGTCCTTGACGCATCTTTTTTTTTTCCTTTTTGCCCCTTCTCTTTCGTCTTCACATCTATGATACCGGTAGATAGGCTTGCCCGGGCATCCTGGATGTGGGTGGGCCACACATCGTTTGGCAGCCAGTGGGCGCGTTTGTGTGACACCTGTCTTAGTTGTGGAGTACTGTACGGTACCGGTACGGTACTCGGTAATGAATGGGTACTCGAGTACAGGGAGGTTGCCGGGGTGTTGCAAAGTGCTTGTTTCATCGACGGGAGAGAGTGAGAGAGAGAGAGTACCGTATCATCATCATCATCATCATCATCATCACCATCATCATCATACTCGAGCGCCGTAGATATCGTAGGAGGACTTCCTCCAGCCCATAGACCCGGATCGCCGGCGTCACAGTCCATCTATCTATCTATCTCGAGCGAATGTACCGCACAAGTTAAGTACAGTACAGTACAGTACAGCACAGTACCCCTACCGCCCATCTACATTGCATACAGGTAACTTGTCTATTTTACCGGTATTCTAGAAGGGCAGGTAACCACGGTAGCATCCGCCCGCTGTACTGTACTGTACTTAGTACTCTACTAATACTTGCACCGGTCGGTACGCACAGTACTTGTACACGCACAGTACAGTATCGTAATACTAGTACAGATAGCGGTACCGACAATAATAATAATAATAATAATAATAATAATAAACCCCCGGTTACCGGCAGCGGCGTAGCAGATCCAGGAAATGATTTTCGAGTATATCATATAATAAATACCGTGCCGGTACTGTACTGTATGTATGTGCCGTATCATATATATATATATACATAAGTTATTACATATATTTATTATGATGCTGGTATTTGTTTTTTTACTTAGCGGTTGGAAGTAACTGTAGAAAGTATCGTATATCACCTTACTACTACCTAGCGGTTGCTATCCTCTACTACTACTATTATTGTTGTTATTATTATTATTCAATGAAGTACTTGTACTCGTATGATATATAAAGGGAGAGAGAGCGAGTGATGCACTGGGTGGTACAGTACCGGTACGGTACACAGTGCTAAGGTTACATTGTACCACATGCAGTATATCCATCCATCCATCCATCCATCCATCAATCTATGATGTACGTATGCTTTGTGCAGTTTTTTTGCATTGACCAGACTAACCGGGCTGTATACAGTGCAGTGCAGTACAGTAAGTATCATAACGGGGGTTCTCCTTTCGTCACTTGGGTGCGGTACGGCAGGTATGTATAAGTATCGTACACGCCTCGAGTAGCGAGTGAGTGATCGTCAGGATGGGATGGCCGGTGCTCATAGGCCTCGTGGTCGTAAGGGGTCGTAGGGCGCAAATTCCCAACACGACAAGCATGCTACGTATGATAGATAGTCTACGGTGTTCTGTATGATGGAATGGTTCGACCAGCTATGATAGAACCATTTATTTGCCAGCCTTGTCATCTTCATCCCCTTCCGTCTTCTTCCTTCCTTCCTTCCTTCGCGGAAATGAATGAATGAATGGGTAAATACGATGTACTCTATGGCTTCGTACCATATTGAACAGTAAGTACAGTATCATACTCGTCGCACTCGAGTATCGCACAAGCCCCGTTCCCCCCCCCCGGTCGTGGGACAAACGCTCACTACTGTACTATTCCGTTCTCGTACAAAGGTAGTGTCAAGTCGATAAAATAGGGGTAATTATACCTGTACCGTATGAACCTACTACCTCCCCCCTTCTCCCTCATCCCCTCACGTGCAGGTACTTTCTACTCGCAGTAGCGGTCGGTATTCAAAAGTTAAAGACAAAGCTTACCTTTGTCTATCATGTTTCATGTGTGGTAAACTTGGCTTTTTTTCCTTCCTCCCCGGGTAGAAACGGTACGGAGGTCTGGAGGGGCCCGGGAGTCCATAACCAGTGCAGAAACTCGATTCGACACGGCTCTAACTTACACAGATCTCTGGAAAAAAAAAAATTTCTTTCACAAAACCATTATCGGTATGCACCCTCACTGACAAAAACCTTCTTGACTTTGACTTTGACTTCTTTGTTGACACGGATACAAGGGCTCCCCCTAATCCCTGTAATTTATATATGATACTTCGCCTTCAGTTATGATAGATGGACACCTCGTAGAACATTCAGGCATGATTACCAAAAAAACATAAGGACGCTATTGACTAATACCGGAGAGTAAGTAAGTAGGCAAGTAAATTTAACCTTGTGCAACTTCCCCCATTCAACTCGTTACTGAAAAAAAAAAAAAAAGGAAAATCATCTTTTAACCCTGGATACGGTACCGCTGGTAAATTAATACGGTACTCACGAGACTAGATCTCGGGCCGCTGATAGGGCGTTGGCGAATGTCGTGTTCCGTCGAGTCATAACCGGAGGAAGGGAGAAAGGGAGAAAGGGAGGAGGAGGAGGAGGCTCGTTGGACAAGTGCGACCCCGCACTGGCTGCAGGATTCTTTTGGTGGCCTAGTGCTGGTTGTTTGGTTTTTTGTGGTGATGATGGACGGCGGGGTTGGTTGGTTGGTTGGTTGATTGGTTGGTGGGTGCAGGGTGGTTGAGGTCGGGGTGGCTTGTGGGGGGGTTCTTCTTCGGTTTTTGGTGGCTGCCTTTCTCCGAGTATCATAGGCTGCCGTTCGGGTGTCCTGCTGTGGGCTGCGGTTTCGGGTGAGGTTGGGTGAAGCTGGGAATGCTCGTATACAGGTACAGTACAGTACTGTATGCTACGGTACGATACTCGTCCGATACCGTTTTTTTTATTATTTTCCGAGTCGGGGAATTTTCTTCAATTGTATAGGCTTCTCTGTTTCTCGGTCGGTCCGGCCCACCTGTCCCTCCGGTGGGCATTATGGGGGCTGGTTCAATCGCGTGGTTATTGTGCTCGAGTACAAGTTCGTACCGTGTGCGAGAAGTGGGAGTTTTTTTGTTTTTTTTTGCTTTTTTTCTCCATTCATTCATTTACTGTATGATCATACAGATTTGCATGGTATCTGCCGGTGAATTGGTGTGATGTGAATGCCTACGCTTATAACGAGGGTTGTTATCGTATCGTGTGTTTTCATCCATTTATTTCTTTTTGACCACGGTGCTCGAGCACCGTAGAGTACGGTACTCCTACAAGTACAGAATACCCCGGATCATGGGGGCACTCGCGCTTGTGCTGAAATACGCTGGTCGAGTGGATTCTGCCGGTGCTGGTGGAGGTGGAGGTGGAGGAGGGGCAGGAGGGATTCTGCAGGCGTGGTGAAAGGTCATCACCGAATGAAATGGCGTCTCTGGGTCGAGGAAAGGTGTCGGTTAAATCCCGGGCAATTGGGGGGGGGGTGAGCGTTCCGACTTCCGGGCTGAGTTAGACCCGTTTCCTCTGTTCAAGCCTTCTGATGGGCTCAAGGCGCGAGGGCCGAAACCGGAAGCTGGGTCTCAGATGAGATCATACGTCATCCGCCACACCCTTTACCCTACCCTATCCTCCTCCCTTTCTTTTTCCCTCCTCCGACCATTACGGCCCCGGTTACGGGCCTCTGAGTGGCCCATGGCCCATGGCAGGCTCACAATCCCTCGCCAGCGCTTCGCCCGAGGGGGAAAATGTCTGGACGGATCGGGGACCCTCGATTTTCTCTGAGTAATCTACGGTAGCCTGTGGCTCTCTCCCTCTCCCCCTCTGCCTCTCCCCGGCAGCTTTGCCCAGCCTAGCCAGCATGGGGGAGTGTGGCATGATAGGAAAGAGTCGTCAATGTAGACTGATGATGCTTGCCGCTCCCTTCCCTACAACGTCACCGTCATTCCTTCACACCTCCCTCCCCCCTCCTTTTACCTGCCATACGTACCGATCATCTACGGTAGTCAGTACGAGTGCTGTAACGATACATTTCTGCCCCATTTTTCCTTTTTCTCCCCCCCCCTGCAAGGCCGCAACTCGCCCGCTCCTCTTTGAGATACCTTTTTTCCTACCCCCCACCGAATCCCTTGCGAGTGCTTGCACGGCGCAACGATACGGCACTCGTACCTCGTGCCCGCCCGCCGCCGTCTAAAACGGCTCTCGTGCCATCTTTCCGCTTGTTGGAGGGGAAAGTCCTGCCACTCAGGTCACAAGTAGATACCGCAGATTTTATCTCTTTCTTTGTCCAGAGAGCTACTGGTACCCTGCCTAGCTCGCCCCCGGATCGCTATTGTCATCTGTGCGCGCGCTGTCGCTTAATTGCTGGGTGCGCATTTGCTGTCTGATCTTGGCTCTGTGACGGCAGTTTTTTTTTTTCTCTTCTCCTTCTCTCTGCTTTTTCTTTTTTTTTTCTTTCTCTTTTCTTTCTATTTTTTTTCCCTTGCCCTATTTTCAGCTCCTCGCGATTGTAAGCATCACCATTTTTTTCCCACCCAAACCCTTGACTTTGACTTGATTTTTTTATATCCTCCTCAAAGTTGGAATATATTCGATTGGGAGGTGAGGAGAGTCGAATCAGGGTCACATCGCGGAGTTTGACAGGGAAGGAAAGGAGAGCCAAAAGGGGAGAAGAGGAGTAGAGAGAATCGAAAGGGAAGGGAGAAAGAGGGTACCGGTAGTAGAGAAAGTGAAGAAGGAGAAGGCGAAGAAGAAGCAGAAGAAGAAGAAGAAGAAGCGGAGGTAGAAGGAGGAGAAGAAGAGAGGAAGCATAGCGTGAGACAAGCGTTGGTGGGTTGCTGTGCGAGACAACTGCTTGCCTGGTGGTTCGGTTGGGAGGGTTCTTCTCGGTTGCTCTGCTGCTGTTGCTGCTGCTGCTTGGCTCTCTTCCGCCGCCTCGAAGGGAATAAGGGAGGGAGAAAAGGAGGCACTCGAACTTTGTTTCGAAAGCACCCACTACGTCACCTTCGTCACCGTCCCCTTCGTCAGCGACCCCCCTATCGTCCTCGAAATATATCGAACCCCAACAACAATCCGCAACGCCAACGCCGAATAGTACCCGCATTCACTGCGAATTCGTCCACAGGCGACGAGCCTTTCAACGGCTGCGGGCAAGCCACTGCCAGACCCTCGCTTCCCGCTTGTTATTTACAGGTACCCAGCCCTTGTGGGAGGGAAAGGCCTTGACAATTCCTTACCGCCAGGACAACAGAGGGAAAACGGCAGAGGGAAGGAGAGCGACGGAGGAGAAGGCCCATCCATATTCGACGAATCTGCTGCTGCAGATATTCGTTCTTGGAGCTCTGGTTTAGAGGGAGCCGAGAGCCTGCCTCGAGAGGGTCTTTCAACCACCACCGCCCCCCGATAGAAAGTGCTCAGTGCGTACAGTTGTTGACCTACAAACTTTTCACATACGGTACATTCATACACACACACTCGCCCACACACCCCAGTTCTTTCGCATTCGTAAACGCAAATCACGCCTACGCTGCCACGCTTCTTCGATACTGCGGTACCCTACCGTTGCGGCGGCTCCACGGAAACTTTCTGGTAATTCTTTCCCTTCCTCCCTTCTCTCCCTCCCCCCCCCCCCGTTGTTGTCGTCGCCGCCCACCTCCCCTCGACTCTCCTTCCCACCACACACACCTCGTACCTGCTCACCCCTACCCTCTGCTCGCCACCCGCTGCCCATCCCCTCTCCACCCTCCATGAGCCGTCAGCCAATACCCGCCGCCATGATCGCCGACGGCTACTAGACAAGCCATAGAGTAATTGCTAATCGGTCGTGATAGCAGCCATCCTCCTCTTTCCTGGCTCCATCACTTTCCCCCCCATCCCCTCCATCCCAAAAGTGTGCATCCTTTTCCGTGAATACTTCGATCCCCTATCCGCAACTTTTTGTGGATCCCTATTTTTGTGCGGCCGCCGTTGTTTTTTGGTGAGGAAGCGGGGAGAAAAAAAGAAAAGAAAAGAAAAGAAAAAAAAAAAAAAAAAAAGAAAGGGAGGGAGAGTGAGAGAGTGTGAGAAACGAGGGATTGCCTTTTCTTGGTGCACGTGTGGGAGTTCGAGGAATCAAAAGCGTCGCTTTGGCCAGTACCCATTATTTAGCTTTGAGACCCGCTATCATACGGATCATCACGACATCACCCCCACATCATTTCCCAACCACCGTCACTCCCCTAACTGAACACCTCATCATCTTGGGAACAAGCAAGATATTATCCACACAACAGATACATAGAAATCGTCATACTCAGTCATATTAACTATGTCAGCGGCTGTGGTCTCGAGACAGTCGGGTAGCGCTGGCCACGGCGCTGGAGGGGCTTCGAACCCAAGCTCACGTATGGGAACCCATTCTCCCGTTGATAGCAAAAAGTCGAATTCCAAGAGTGAAGGTATGTTTTCACGGTGTCGGCATTTTTTATCATTTACAGCTGTGCTATCCCGTTCCCTGCCTTTTTTCCTCCGTGTTTCTATATTTGAGATGATTCGTGCGTTCGGCGGATAAGCTACTAATGTTCAGATCCGGTAACTATATTTACCTGTACTGACATGGCCGTAAAACTTAGACAAACAGAGGCCTTTGTCGGATCAGTCTAGCAATAACGGGAGAGATGCGGCGAAAAGCTCGTCGAAAATTGCCTCGCACAATTTATCCCCTTTGTCGAATTCGTCTTTGCCAGTCGCGAGCTCGATACATCCGCCCCAAGTTGCCGTCGACCAGCCTCCGGATGCCACAAAACCCTCTCAACAGAGCAACCATGGTCCGGGCCCCTCCCGCTCATTACCAAACAAAAAGCTATCGGAGGATACACCAGGAGGAGGAGGAGGGGGAGGAGATTACTTCGCCCTCGGTCATACACGACTCGATCAGGAGCCCAACCCCTTTGAACAATCGTTTGCATCAACCTCGGATCCCCTCAATACGCCAAAGACAATACTCCCGCCTGTTACTGCGATAACCTCTCCCGCTTCTCTGTTACCCGGTGGCTCAGGGGGATCTGCCTTTAATTGGGGTCTTAACTCGCTTCGATCAGGGCCACTTTCCCCCGCCATGCTGCAGGGCCCCGCTTCCAACTCCAACGTTGGATCGAGCAGTTCACTTGCTTTCGACGCGCACATCCGAACAGGGTTGACTCCCAACGAATCCGGCATTAGAACAGGCCTAACTCCCGGGGGCTCCGGTTCTCTATTTCCTCCGTCGGCTGGTAACGCACTGTTCCAACAGTTTTTGGGGGGCGGGGCTACCCCGGGAACCATGGAATTCCAACGGACTGCACTTTCGGCCGCCAGAAAATCCTCTCACCCCGCGCCACCATTGATGTCTCCGCAACAGCAGCATATCAAGTCGGAGGATCGGGCCTCGGGCCTCGACCAACAGAAGAGACCGCAGTTGGACAACTACCGTGCAGCGGATCCGGCGCACAACGCTGCCAATGGCTTGTTTCTGCTGGCGAATGCTCAGCATCAGCAGCAAGAGGCCGTGGGTACTTCGGGTGCCGGCATGAATGCTGGATCCGCACCGAGCTATCCCGGAGGCCCGGTACAGTCGGGCGCTACTGCGATCGATGGCTCGAGTCCAAGCCTTGCTAAAAGGGCTTTGGTTAATAACGCCTCTAATGCGGCGATGGGTGTTAATGTTAATAGATCTGTTTCTGGTGGCTCGATACCCAATAGCGTTCGAGGGATAAGCGAGATTAGTGACGACTTTGGAGGATCGAGCGATGAGGAGATGCAAAACACGGGTTCGCGGAGGAATGCTCGACCCAAAAACCCTAAAAGCAAGCAGTCCGCCGCCTCGACTGGGCGCCGAAAGGCGGACGATAGTCCTGGGGGACCTGGAAGGTCGCAGTCAAAGAAGGTCAAAGGCCCACAAGGCCAATCGATGTCTGTCAGTGGGGGTAGCGACGACGGGCAGGATGACGGAAAGGATGAGAATGGCAAGGACACCAAGAAGATGACAGACGAGGAGAAACGAAAGAATTTCCTGGAGCGAAATCGGTACGTATTTCGTTTGTCACTCGATGTTCTCTACCTGTTCATTGCGAGTCGTCCCAACTAAACTATGACGTCATTTCAGGGTCGCCGCTTTAAAATGTCGCCAACGTAAGAAGCAATGGCTCGCCAGCCTGCAAGCGAAGGTCGAGATCTTTTCCAGTGAAAATGATGCACTCACCGCCCAAGTCACCTCTCTTCGGGAAGAAATCGTCTCGCTCAAGACGCTACTCCTCGCACATAAGGACTGTCCTGTCGCTCGGTCCAATGGAGGGAATATGGCCACACTCGATATGAACACAAACATGAACAACGACTACGGCCATGTTCCAATGATGACCGGCCATTACGGCGGCATGACTAGTATGGGCGGCGGAGTCATGGCGCCCCCCGGCGCTGGACGGAGGTATTCTTAGCGAAGGGTGACGACGATTAACGACCGAAACGATATGAATATAAAAAGTTGTGTTTTGCCTAGATTCGTCAAATTTGTGGCCGCGACTGGGTCGGAGAAGAGAAGGGCTAGCATTCAACCGGTAGATCTTGGCCGAGGTTTTTATTCCCTTTAACGTGTTCCTTCGCCTCGTTTTTCAAATGGTAGGCTCCTGTGGCTGTTCCTTCCTCCCTTCCTTATGATTCGGGGGATTGTTGGCCTTTTCTTTTTTTTTCTTTTTTCTTTTTCTTCTTCCCTTACCCTTACCCCTCTCTCTTTTCTTCTTCTTTCCTTTTCCCTTTAATTCAATAGTACATAGCTTTAGGGGGGAAGAGGATGGGGACAAGGAGGAATCGTCTTTTTTTCTCCTTTTCTTTTTTCATGATATTGGAGTTTTTTCGGGCAAAGCCACCAACTCTTGGTTCAGTCCGCTTTTCCTACTCCAACGAACCAAAAATAGCAAGCAAACAAACACCCCTTTGCACCCTATCAACCTTATCCTTCTACCCTCTTTCTTTCTTTACTTGAGATTATAGTATGTAACTTTTCTTCCACCTCCCCCAGGACTTCTTCCTCTTGTCACCTTTTACTTATTCACTATTCACGGTTTCTGGGTCTGGAATTCTCATTGTTTTAGTTTTTGTGACTTGCGAGCTTGTCTTGTGTTTTTTTTTTTTGGTGAGTGTGTGTGTGCTTGCCTGGTGAATTTGTTATTTTTGTTACTTTTACTTCGTATTGTACTCGTATCTTACACAAAATTAACTTTAGCTCACTTTATCTTTATCCTGTCTCAAGTGCTCGTGTTGCCTGACTGAAGTCGGGTTTTATTTTCCTGGCGTGGTGGCGCAGCTGGGGGGGTGCGACTTCAATCAAGCCATGCGGGTATGGTACTTATACCTATGCTTAGATACGGATGGTAGTTGGTGGTTTTGCTACATGGTGGAAAGGAAGGGGGTGAGGGGAGGGAAAGGTATCGTGTGGTCGTGGATACAAGTCAATGGAGGCGCTGTGTGTTGTATAATATGGTAAGTGTGGGGTTTACTGCAAGTAGGGCAAGATGAAGCGGAGGAGGGGAATTGCTTACTTGCTACTTTTTTGGTATCACTACTTGTGTTTACTGTTTGTCGTGCGTTGTGCTCGTACTGTACGAGTACGAGTACAGCAACCTGAAGGGATGCAGATCCCAAAGGTGGACCCACTTGCACAAGTCGAGCCGAATCCAAGACCTATCACACTGGCAGCTCTTGCCATGTTGCTCATGGATGCTTTCGCTCGCATACCTCGTATGATAGGTGAATACCTAAGCTACCTACTCGAGTACAGTACCTGCCACACTGTACCCGTGACGGAATCGTACCATTCGTCCTGTGATATTCGCCATCATACCCTTTTTCTCCTCTTCCCCTGCCCCTTCCCTTCCCACGCTTTACACGAGTCTCACAACCTATCGTGCCGATGTGAACGTTTGGACGGAACGCAGTCAATACCAACTCAATCTCGGGTAATTCACGGCACTGTATACTTTTAACATTTTTTTTATTTTTATATATATATTTTTTCCCTTCCTTCCTTCCTTCCTTCTCCTTTACCACACTTGGCTGCACTGTAGGGGTTTTTTCTTCTTCTTCTTCTTCTTCGCATACTGGTTATGCTACATACGGTGTAGCAGTTATGATACAGGTACTATGCTGTACAAGTACCAGTACAGTACATGTGGTGTTCTCGCAGTGGGTTTGCTGAAAACTGTTCTCTCTTCTTTTTGGTTGGCTGCGTCGACTTTCGGCGGCGTAACTTGGATTATTCTGTCTGTCTGCTGTTTTCCTATACTTGTGGGCACTTGCTGTATGCGGGTTGCTTTAGTCTGGTGACATCGTGACCGGTACCGTAAGGTATGATAATTCGACCTCATCCATGGACGAACCCCCCCCCCTCCTCTTTGCCCTTCTTTGGCCCCCACCTACTCGTACGTACTCGGGTACTGTGTCCGCATAGTTCTACCCTACAGTCTTCCTGCCGCCCCTCCAGAATCTCCAATCTACCCTCCCTCCCTCCCTCCCTCCCTCCCTTCCTCAATCCCTGCTTGCCCCCCTCAAACCCCCGAGAAACAATCCACCGGTACTGTACCGTACTCGAGTACGTGCACTTGTATCTCACCTATGATATCATGTGTAACCTGGTTATCCCCTTATCATAGGGTTAGGGTTTTCAGCCATATAAATAACCCGATGGAAAATACCGGTGAATTTAATTTACATATGGTATCAAAGCTCCAACAAAACCCGGGACAAAAAAAAATAAAAATAAAAATTAAAAAAAGTACATTATGTAAACCCCGACATCGACAGGATTTGAACCTGTGCTCGCGAACGAAACAGATTTCTAATCTGTCGCCTTAACCACTCGGCCACGATGTCTTTTTCTTTGTGGATCATGTCGGTTTGCACATTTGAGGTGGTTATGATGCGGGGCTCTGGTGGGTGTGTTATGTACAGTACTGTACTGTACCGGGTATAAGAGTGATTGTATCATATCATGGGAAGTGCAGATGGAAAAAAAAAGGGGGTCTGGCTTGGAGGTTGGAGAATGGGGGGAGGGATTCTGCTTGGTGGGGGTTTAGGTGTGGGTGGAACTGTTGTTTGGGCGATTCATCTTGATGATGCTGGAAGTTTGGATGGACAGCGGTTGTGAGGGTTCTTGGATGCGGTGGTACGGTGGTGCGGTGGAATATCGGTATACGAGTGCAGTGCCGGGATGAAAATTGAGTCAATCGGTTCCGTCAATCTCGGCACTTTACAAATCACCCGGAGGAACAGGGAAGAGGAAATCTTTTTTTTAAAAAAATGCTAAAACTGGGTGGGTCGGTCACTCATTTCTCGTCACATTTTCCTCCCCAGATTTGTTGGAGAAAAAAAGAAGAGGGAAAACAAAATTAAGTCTTCTACTCAGTTCTGCCTGCACTCGCACTTACAGCCACACACGATTGATGATGAAAAGAAAGAAGAAAAGAAGGAAGGAAGGAGAAAAAAGATCTCAGAAACGATCAATGCTTTGTGTATCCCGTGAACTGCGTCTCCGTGACCTCTTTGCCCATCGCCGCGGTCGACGACACACCACCGGTGACCATCTTCAGCATGTTGTCAATGTAGTTTGCTCCGCTCCACTTTTGGTGAAGGACAACATCGACGTCGTTCTCCATTTCTGGCCCCTGCACGAGATTGCCATAGGCTTTCATACCCTGCTTGGCGTAGTTCTTTGCGAATGTATCTACGTTGCGTTAGTATAGGTTTGCTCAAACTGGAAGGGGATGAGGGAGGAGGGGTACCTGATGCAAGGGCAGTGGTGTGAAGACCTGCGAGGGTGATGAATTGCCAGCAGTACCCGAGTTTGCCGAGGCGTTTGATATATGTTTCTTGCTCGTCTGATGGCATGGCGGCTGTGGTAGGGTGTTAGAATAGGATTAAGATTTTACAGAGGTTGTATGGAATGAACATGCCCTTCCAGTTGAAACTGGGTGAAAGGTTGTAAGCAAGTTTCTGCTCGGGCCAAACAGCATGGACGCCCTCGGCGAATTCGACAGCTTGGGCGTAATCCGGCTTCTTGCTCTCCATCCATAGGCAATCGGTGTAAGGAGCGTATGCCACAGCTCTCATAATAGCACACTTGGTGCCACCTCTGTACCTGTAGAACCCTTCTCTAGTTCTAGGGCTCTCCCAATCCCAGAATATATCTGTCCCTGTGATGCCCTCGGCGATAGCCCGGGCTTCAGAGTTCCTCTTTCCTTGTGAAGCGGAAAGGTATTGTTCAATCAACCCGGACTTGTTGGGCCAGCTGCCGGCGTTGATAGCGTCGATAACGGCCTCGTCGAAAAGCTTGATGTTGGCAGACGCTAGCCAGGAATCCTCAATTGCTTGGAGTGCATCGCCAGACTTGCCAGAGGTTTCGGCAGTGACCATCAGGTCGACGAGGGGTTGAAGCGATGGGTTTGTGCATCCGAGAATGAAGGGGTGATCTCGGTGATCGATGGTTGAAGTGATCAGGGTCGCGGCTTCGGAGTCTGTGCGGGCGACGGAAAGAAGATCGGCACCTGCGCACGCACGAGTGAGAGGTGTGGTACTAAGAGAAGGAAATTATATGGCTTACCCATGATATCGGCCTGCGCCCTGATGGCCACCAACCGATTGATGTGCTCGCCCACAGGTACCAGCACCTTACCAGCCATGTGGCCGCACTTCTTGGTCCCGGGCGCTTGGTCTTCAATGTGAATTCCGGCAGCACCCTTCTCAACGAACAACCTTGTGAGCTTCATGACGGCTGTGAGCCCACCATGGCCGGTATCAGCATCAGCGATGATAGGGCGAAGGTAATCGACATTCGGCTGCTTAGCACGCTCGGATACTGGGACAGATAGGCGTGCTTCTCGTTGCTTCCTGTCGTGGAACAATTGCGCCTTGAAGAGGTGGTCGACTTTGTTCGGAACCGTATCCTACTGCCCGTGAGTCACGTGCCCAAGAACCCCAAATCCCACACTCCGCTCGGGATGACATGTGAGAACAGAATTCGACTGCCGCAGCAAATAAAACTTACCATAGGGTAGTCCGCAAGGTCAGGGCTGGGCTCGTGTGTGCTGCTAGCAGTGGAAGAGCATTGCCATCCACTGACATACACCGTCTCCAGGTACTTGGCCATTTGGGTGACCATGACGGGGTCGAGACATCCATAGGTGTAACTGGGCTCTTTTGACTCAAACTTCTTCTCCAGAACACCCCAAAGCTTCTTGCTTTGGTAGTTGCCTGGATAGGAGATGGGTAGGTTTCCTCTCTTGGAGACAATGTGTTCTGCAGTGAACGGTCTTTTTGTGTAGCGCCAGCGTGGTGATGACCACCATTGCTTCACGGCTTCAACTTCGGCCTCGAAAGCCTGCTGCTCCGCCTCTCTGGCTGCTGAAGAAGACATTTAGTTGTAGAGAGGTTCGAGGAGTAGAAGTACAGAGGGGAGAACAGAGTGTATTCAACGAGAGAGGAATGGAGGAGGAGTACGATACTAAAGAAAAGCATTCAAGAATTGAGCCCTCGGAGAATCTCGGTCCAGCAGCTGCTGGCTTGTGAATGGCATGGCCAAGGCTCTCGTGAGACATCCATAGCTAGTAACTGTAGGAATGGAAATATGGTTGCGCTAACTTGTTAAAATGGCTAGTTCTTCTCGTCCTCATATTGATTCGGATGGATAGGATCCTCTACACCGGTAACGGTCTTCAATACCACCACCCGCGGGTCCAAAAGTAGAATGGTGGATCACACCACGGCATGAGGAGCATGTGAGAGGAGGACCGGCCTCAGGGCCTATTCTTGACCCAATCGCGCCCCCTTCGGACTAAAACAAAAATGTGGTTGCATCGCTGGTGATTATGTACAAGTACTCGAGTCGACACATGAATTTTTTCTGAGAAAAACCCAAACCTCGGATTGTAGGGTAACCCATGGCTCGGCAACGGGGCTGCATTTAGGGCTCGTTTACCTACCAGTAGGGGTTTTCAAAATTAAAAGGGTAGCAAAATTTTGGCTTACTTTGCTGTTTTATGTAAACTTGGCATGCACAGGAATGGTTTATGTACTGTTACTTAACTTTACCATACCATAGGATAGAGACAAAGGTCTAGAGGTTGGTAACTAATACTGGACCTGGTTTGACACAACTTTACCAAACCTCTAAAATCAGACATGATGTATCATAAAAAGAAAAATTTAAAAGGTCAAAAACCAATTTTAAAATATACTGTAGTACATCCCAGGAATAATTATGTACTCTCACTGATAGGGATCTTTTGACTTTTGATATTTTGTTAACAGAAACAGGTTTGTTACCATCTTTCTAAGATTTACCTTAACCTTTGTAGTGTACTTTGCCTTCAGTTATCTTAGAACTTTCAAATATGATACCTGGAACATGAGGATACTATTGGCTAATACCGGAAAGTAAGCTTAGTATGCAACTTCCGGCATTTACTCATTACTGAAAAGTCATGTTTCTAACTTTGAAAACGCCTAGTATGGACTGCTGTCTAGTGCACGGTGACGGTGCCCACAGTCAAGGGGTCTTAACGGTTAGCAGCATTAGTGGCTGATTCTCATACCATGTTTACCTAACACACCGTCAAGTGCACCATCCTACTACAAATCAAAAGTTTTACAACATGATAATGTGAGAGCTTTGAACTTCCAATTCCCAACTTCCCCTTCCTTTCTACCATTTCTGACTGGCCATCCTCCGAGTACTACCTACAATTGCTCCTTGGAAAAAAACGGAACACTCTCTGCCTCTTCGGGTGGCTTTTCTTCAGTTGCTTTGAGACAATAGCTCAAATCTGTCAAGGTGCTACCTGGGGGAAAAAAAAGGCCATGAAGGTTTCAATAAATATATTGTAGTTACCTATGGGGGCCACAAACTGACCCAGCTTAGTTAACAATGGTGCAAAGAAGGCAGAGCTAATTGGCAGCGGTAGTATGGCGATTGCAGGTGTGACAGGCCCTGGGTACCGTATAGTGATGATGTATTAATGTTTGAGGTTGACAGTGTTGCTACCACACCTCTGGAGATACATCTGGTTTTGACTGTCTAACACCCAGAATTTTCAACTGTTGAAGATTAGGTAAACGGGCCCTTAATCGTCAGCTTTTCAACCCCAACCTTTACGAAGGTACAGCTCCTAAGTTTTGTATGTAAGTTTTGTATGTTCCACAGGGGCTGGGGTCGGCAAATCTCGCTTGTGGGACATATCATACAAAACGTAGGTGTTGTACCTCCGGTACCTCGGTACACCCCACACCGCAGCGAGCAACGACCACCGGAGCAAAGCAGCAAGCCGAAACAACACAACAGAACAATACCATGCATTCTTCGAAACTTTTTTGTCTTTCGGTTGCTGGTCATCGGCTCCGTCGTGAGTTGCATGGTGGGTTAAATACCATGGCAAGACGTAGTTTCACTGCCAGTCCGGTATGTCTTAAACCATCGGGATTCTTCTTTTCACGGTGTCATTACTTACAGGGTTCCGGTGATTGGGGAAACCGCAGTGATGGCAATGAGTTGTCCGCACATGAGCAGAACCTGGATGGTCTAGCACAAGATGTACTCGGTCCGGCTCAGGGTACATTAGGAGCACTTCCTAGGAGCGAGGAGTTCCATATACAGCCGCACCCCGTTGTCCCGGACCTCGCTCTCCCGGATGGATTTCTATGAATTATAAATTTCTTTACACCAAAACCAAACCTGTCATCCCGGGTAACTCGCTGTCCCGGACGGATTCTTAGGATTTTGGCCGTCCAGGACAACGGGGTGCGACTGTACTTGATAAGGTTGGTTCTTAGTTTACCGTTGATGGACATATTGCTTTAACTATTTATAGGATGTTACTATTCTGAAGGCTCAGGTGAACGATATCAAATTAGACCTTAAGGATTTGCATCACGCTATCAATAAAAATTCGACCATGTCCACAGGAAAACTGACATGAAGTTCGATCGCTTGATACTGCTAATTGTTGGCTGTGTGGCCTTGCAAGGAGGGTTCGGTATCTACAGGGAGGAACACAAGAATTCTACCAGTGAGAAGAAAGCGTAAAAGCACGGGGTCTTGCTGGCAACTTCGTAAGTGAGCACACATCAATTGATTGATTGATAATTCATACTAATGGGACATTATAGGATGGAGTGTTTCGGATGGGGTTCAGGGTTTGGACGGGGATAATTCTGGAGGCTTTTACATGGGGCTACATGATGGTAGAGGGACTCACGGGTTGGCGGTTTATGGTTTGCGTTGTTTTTATGCGGTAGTTGCGGGACGAGGAAAGGGGAAAAAGAGATAATAACGCTCTAACCACTGTTATGGGATTCGCTTTCACCGTAAATGAATACAAGGAAACTACAAGCAACAAAAGTAAAGCAAAAAACAGTGGCCCTAATATCCATATGAGAAAGGAACATTCTTCTCTAGGCGTGGTACCTACTCCAGGGTCTTAAACACGAATGGCCCCATACTTTTTACAGATCTTGCGGGTCCTAGACCACCATTTAAACAGTACCCCTCTACTAGTTCAAATGCCAACATACTCACTTCATCTGATCGATCTAAAATGGCCTTCTGTAAAAGCAATCCAGGTTGGTGTTGAAGAGTAACTGGGTGGAACATCTAGTGCTGAGTGTCGCGGAAATAAGTGCTTCAGCTGGAGCAGCAGGCTTGGTTGCTCTGTCACTAGGACAGGAAAGACTTCAGAGACTGTGAAGTGTGTACAGTTGGAGGTGTGCTAGATGGCAATGTCCTTGACTTGATTGTTGCACTGCCATCTGCTACCCTTATGAAAGGACCAGGTACAGATACAGAGGCTTCAAGTTGGGTATCTTGTATTTAATTGTAACCCATGTAGTACTAGGGATCCAGGCTCTAGGATTCTTATAAGCTAAGTTGGTACTAGGACTTTAAATAAACTTAGATAAAATACTATACCTGTACTTAAGAATTACAATACTTCCTCTCTCTCTTAGTTATACAAGACCTGAGCCCCTGAACCCTGACCCTGGACTCCCAGAACTTCAAACCTTATACAAATACTTATTATTTGTATACCTAAACTGGACCCTCTTACAACATCATACCCTTAGACAGTAGTGTACCTTGAACTACCTGAACCCTTAGATCCTCCCTGTTACACTTATAGCAATCAATCTATTGTTCTAGCAGTTTATACATAATATCTTAGTTGATAAAATAGAGGATGCAACAGGAAATACAACAGGAATGCCTTAATATAAAATTTAGTATAATATCAGCATAGATTGAACTTGGTAGTAGTTTATTAATACTAAAATTTATGTCAAGGCATTCCTGTTGCATCCTCTATTACATTGACTAAGCTATTGTATATAGAGTACTGGAATCATACTTACTAACTTTCTCTCCCATCTCATACCTACAATTACAATACTCTATATGATTTGATCTCATAAGGTACAATAACAGTATTTGAGAATATCAGATATAACATCTCTAACATTCAAGTTTGGGATCAATTTATAACAGTTTCTTAAGGGAAGTCTCATACAAGTTACAATAGGGATGTATATATATAAGGAACTAGATAAGATACAGGAGGTAGAGAAGGTATTACCCAATTGTCAAAATTGTTTCTGACATTCTGTGTAAAAGGATGGTGTACTTTATGCATATCAAACATGTACAATAGTGAAGAAACAAAAGGAAGATGTATAGAGAAAGATTAAAAAGACTCAGAGAGAACTTGAAAAGCTAAAAACAAAGATGTCAACTGAAAGAGAGAAAGGTAGTGAAACCCAATTTACCTAGAGCTTAAGAGGTCTACTCGAGTATAAGAAAGCAGCAAGGGAAGAGGAGGTGAGTTAGTAAGCATTGTTGAAAAACTGTATTTCAATGTCTATAAATCAAAAAAAAAAATCCAGCATTGGACCAAATCTGGTATTGAGCTGGAGGGAATATCATAGATGTATGGTTCCGGAAGACTAGAGGTAGACCCAGTTTTCACACAAAAAGTGTGACAATTTCAAGTGTCACGACAACCGTAATGCAGTTATTTATCATTATTTAATATGTTCCTTTGCCCCACAGGGTTGCCTTGGCAGAGATAACATATTAAATAATCATAAATAACTGCA